GGGGGTGTGGATTTTTTGTTCCTGGTTGGTTTTTTTTTTTTTTGTCTTCACTTGAAGTTGGCGTAGTCTGAGAAGGCGTCGATGTATTCCTGCACCACCTTGTAGCAGAATTCGTACTGTTCCTGTGGGATTCGGGGAGAGAACGGTGTTAGGCCACGAAAATCCACACCTTGGACATCATTGGATGTTTTGTGCTCTTTTTGGGAAGCTGGGACCACCCACCCCTGAGCTCCCACCTCTCCTTTGTGACCCCCAAACCCACCCCCCTTGCTGAGGTGCCAACAGCAAAAGAAACCCTCTGCTTTCTGCTTCCTCTCTCAAGTCCTGTTTCAACCCCAAAAGATTTTTTTCCTGCATCCCTGCTCATCCTTGCAAACCCCTCTGGCAAGATCTCATCCAGCCCTGCCTGCTCCAACCCTCCCTGTGTGCCCAAGCCTGTGCCACAGCCACTCCAGGACCGTGTTCCAGGTTCCTGGAGCCTTTAAATGTGGGACTGTGGTTGGGGATGCCTCCAAAGAGGCTCCCACAGCTCCATTTGGTGCTCAAAAGGCGCTTGATGCCTTCAGCACCTCTTCCAGATGCCTTAAGAAGAGGAAGGGCAGACACCTCCTGGCACATCTCCGTGGAATCATGGAATCCTAGAACGGTTTGGGTTGGAAGGCACCCTAAAGATCATCTCCAACCCCCTGCCATGGGCAGGGACACCTCCCACTATCCCAGCTTGCTCAGAGCCCCACCCGACCTGACCTTGGACACTTCCAGGGATCCAGGGGAATCCACAACTTCCCTCATGGAGAGGGCAAACCTCGAACCAAGGAGGTTTCTTCTGCTCAGCACTGAGCCCCCAGCCCGTCCTTGCCAAGGTTTTGGCGTGGCAGGAGGCCCTTACCAGTGTCTGCACCATGTGTGGCCTCTGTAGTCTTAAACTCTTCACTGTCTGAAAGACGTCCAGGATCGCCTCTGCCTTCACCCTCTCCAGGACGGTGCTCAGCGCACAGAAGGTGCCCGTTCTTCCTGCTCCAGCACTGGGGAAGAGAAACCAGAGGGTGAGGGAAAATGCCTGCCCTCACCCTGCTGGCTTTGCTCAGGGCACAATCCATGGGGGAAGCACCAGAGAACTGGAGGAGCCAACGATGCTGCCCCAGCCTCTTCCAGAATATCCAGGACACGCCGTGGGGCTCTGACCATCTCCCAAGCTCCCGGTCCCTTTGGAGGGGTGTCCAAGCTGCCCCCCAGCCCTTTACCTGCAGTGCACAGTGATGGGGTGGTTGCCAGACTGCTGCTGCTGCTTCTGCACCGCCGCGATGATGTTGATCATCCCCTTCCCGTCCCCGGGGATCCCGACTTCTGGCCAGCCGTGGAAATGGAACTGCCGGATCTGCCGGCTCTTGTTTTCCTGGCGGGAGAGCACAGCTCGGGGTCAGGTGGGAGATCTGCACCAGGGAGCCCACCAGCTCGGGGCTTTGGGAAAACCATCCCTGCGGGAAAGATGCTGGTGGAGGGGTGGAATTCCCGTGGCATGGAGCAGGGGGAATGTGGGGAATGGGGAGGAGGAGGGAGGCTGGGTCCAGGTGGGAACAGAGACAAGGTGGAGGAGGGTGAGGGCTGCTGGGTGGCAGCAGGGCAGAGGGAAGGAAAGGAACTCTCAGGGGTGGGAAGGCAGGGATAAAATCCCTTTGGAATGACGGGGCAATGATGGAGCAGAAGAAAACACCAGCAAGGGCTCATGGCAGCCAAACCCAGGAGCACCCAGAGCTCCCCAGGACAGAATCCGGACTCTCACCCTGGTGTTTGTCACCAGCAGGTCCCGCACCGTGTAGCTCTCGCACTCCTCCTCTTTCTTCAGCTCCACAGTGATGTCTCCGTAGGACACGGAGCCGTCGGACGGCCAGTACTGGGCACACTTCTCCTGAGGAAGCATCACAGGGGGAGACAGGCTGAGCACCCCCTACTTTTCCAATGGGATTGGATAGAGGGGTCTTCCCGGGGCCTGCAGCTGCCCAAAACCAGGTGGGATCCCAGACTCCCAGAATCACAGACTGGTTTGGGTTGGAAGGGACCTTCAAGACCATCTCGTTCCAACCCCCTGCCATTTCTTCATTTTGCTGGTGTTTAATGCAGCTGTTACGGGGAGCTTACCTGGCCTCTCTCCTCCAGCTCCGTTAGCATCACTATGGAGCAGGATTTCCACTCCCAGATCATCCTCCAGAAGTCCTCTATCGTGTGCTGCAGCGGCCCTTGGCTGGCGATGTAGGAATCCTTCTGGCGATAACCCTGGAATTCGGGAACAGGGTTAGTGGTGAACTGGAAGCACCCAGATGGCCAGGAGCAGCAGGAGGAATGCTCTTGGACATGGTTGGGTTACCAAGCCCAGGGAGGATCACATTCCCTACACATGCCCTACTTTTTATCCATTCAGGGAAGAATGATTTGGGTTTCCAGCAAGCCTGAGCAATATTGCAAACTCTGAGTGCCTTGCCTAAGCTCTGGGCATTCAGGTATGATTTTTACTGGGGATTTTCGGAAGAAGTAAGCAAAACTAAAAGGAACTAGATGATTTTTAAGGTCCCTTCCAACCCAAACGGTTCTGTGACCTATGGAAACCAGCAGGAAGTCTGGGTGACTCTGGCTCTTCCACAGCCACAAAGTATTTCTGTTCCCAAACCCCTCTGACGTTCCCCTGTGCCCTCACTGCAGACTGTGATTAAAGATGCTTCGTCATTTGGAGTTTGTCATTGAAGCAAAGTTCAGCAGAGGCAGGAAATTGAATCCTCAACCGAAATTGCTTGCGTGTTTTGGAAGCTTTCTGCTCTGGAGCCACAACAAGGCAGCTGCTCCCGCAGCCAGAGCCACCCATGGGGATCCAGCAGAGGAGATTTCAGGGAGCAATTAATTGGGGATGTTAGAACTGGGAACAAACTGGTTTTAGTGGATCAACCCACGGCAGTGATTGCCTTTTGGGGGTTAAAAAACCCTCCTGCCATTAGGAGATGAAAGTAGAAATTGGGCTGGAAAAAGAGCAGGGTCTGTCGCTTGGCCAGCACTGCGTGAAGATAAATACTCATCCGAGATGTCTCCCTGGAGCCCACAGGATGGCTCAGGAGAAAAGGATGTGCAATCACTTACCTCCTCCCCAGAGTGAGGAAAGCACTTAACCTCCCTGCCTCACCTCCTCCCATCACCCAGACAGGTATAATGGGATTGACCTGGTTCTCCTCGAGGGTTTTGGAATCGTGTATTGCTCCATTACCTAATCTAGTGGATGTTTTCTGACCAAATGGCCAGTGCTGCGTCATTTCCATGGATACGTGCATGGATACAATTCTCCACAGCCATCAGCAGAGACCAGAGCTGCAGAAGCGAGCCAAGGACTTGGAGGCTCTGCTCAGGCTCCAGCTCTCCTCTCCCATCAGCCGTGGGACACGAGGAGCTGGGAATACCAAAGGGTTTCTTGGAGACAGAAACCAGCACCATCCAGTGACACAAAAGCAAAGTCAAGTGAAAAGAGCCTTATGAGACTCAGAGAAGGAGTGTTTGGGACAAATCCTTCCCTCAGGAAGCAGCCTGAGGTGAAGTTTCCATTGGGAGAAGATGGAGAGGAGAGTAAAGAAGACTCACATCAATGAAGGAAGCGTTTACGTAATCCGTGTTCTCTTCACCTCTCTTCACTGGAATGATTACTCGGTTGAACTCATCTGAAACAGAACAAAATGACATGAGATTTGGGGAACTCCTTTAAATCAAAACTCATAGATAACCAGCTTTTAGCTGAGAAGTCACCAAGGGCTAAGTGGGACACAGAGATAAGGGAAGGGGAGTCCTGTGCTTACAGCACCTGACTGGGACAAGGACAGTCAGCTCCACCCTCTGCCATGCCCTGGTTTGGGGAAGGAGAAGGGGATGCTGAGCACTCCAGAAGGACCTGCTCAGCACTAGGACTCCCTTCCCCTCAAGGTACAAAGCCCTGGCAGCAAAAGCCATCTGGCAGGGCCACACACAGCTGGTTGCCCATCTGTCCAGATACATTTTGAGTATCTCCAAGGATGGAGACTCCACAATCTCCCTGGGCAACCTGTGCCAGTGCTTGGTCACTCTCACAGTCAAAACGTGTTCCCTGACGTTCACAGGGACCCTCCTGTGTCTCAGTGTGTGCCCATTGTCCCCTGTCCTGTCACTGGGCACCACAGAGCAGAGCCTGGCTCCGTCCTCTCTGCACCCTCCCTGCAGGTGTTGATGGACACTGATGAGACCCCCGGAGCCTTCTCTTCTCCAGGCTGAGCTGTCCCAGCTCTCTCAGCCTTTCCTCAGAGCAGAGGTGCTCCAGTGCCTCCCCTGGGCTCTCTGCAGCCTGTCCCTGTCTCTCTGGTGCTGGGGAGCCAGAACTGGACCCAGTGCTG